ATTATACCCATGGATTCCTCTTCTTCCTGAGAATGAGCAAGGAGAACATGCTTTTCCTCCAGTAGCAATGTCCTAAGGGCTTTTATGAAGAATATATTTTCCCCTACGTCTGGGAGTCAGTATGTGAGCTTGATCATTGTTGCCTAATAAACACAACGTGAATTCCCACTAGAAGACAGCTAATGGGCACTTCCAGCACAATTTCCTATACCATGGTAAATGAATTAGTTGAAAAGTTTTCTATTCTGTAGTTCCTTTGGTGAGCAAGGGACTGTTAGAAGGGATTTTGGATAAGTCTTTGCTTAGATTATAGTCCCATAAAAGAAGAATTATTATACAATGCTGCCTCTGTATAGCAAAATAGTGTGTTTTTATTCATGATTTAAATACCCATTTGAATTATATTTGAGCATCTCTGGAAGTGGTGTCTTCATCTGCCTAGAAATGAAGGTTGGATAATACCTGTGAATAGCTTTAACATATATGGCATTTTAATGTGCTTAAATTATATATCTATATCTATATAGATATATATGAAACAGAATAATGTCCTCACCCCAAACTATGTAGTCTTTATCTTAACCAAAATTGTCTTTGTCCACAAAAATATAGAAATTAAATATATGATAAAGAAGACAATATATGCTCATTGCTGGAGTACTTTTGGATAATCATATTTTAACAAAAGTTAATGGTCAGGTAATAGAAACAATGAACTGAAGTGAAAGCCTAATATGAATTTGATGAGCAGAACATTCTTTACTAAAGTATGCTAGAGGGGAAAATCCCCATGGAACATTTTACTTCTTGGTACTTGTGAAGTTTATTAGTGTTAGTATTAGAATGGACATGATTGATAAGTGAACCTCAGTGAATAAGTGCCATTGATCTTCAGAAAACATAGGGCAAAGGCTGGATATCTCTTAAAGAAAAAAGAGCAAGAAATAATTTAAAAAGTCTTTAAAAGACGTCATCTCTATTTCTATTGACTCAGAACTCTTCATTTATTTGCATATAACCTGTAAAGCTGATGATGCACTCGGTAAAGGAGGAGTCTGCTAATACAGGACTCTATTAAAGATACTAAATAAGTAAGTCAAAGATATGAGTGGCAATGCCAAGAATGCATAACAAAAGATCTGGGGTTCTGATAGGCAAAGAATGGCAATCTGAAGAGAGAGGTAAAGAACACAGATCACCCAGGAGACTCTTAGTGCCAGAGAATACCAGCTTCCTTCATTACTGAGAAAGGAAATGGCTATGGCAATTATTTCCTGACTCCTGATAACAGAAATATATGCCGGCATTTAAAGGTTCAAAGCTTCAAATGGAATTGTTTTTATTAATAACCCGCTACCATTATCATCCTCATCATGATTGCAAGTGGCAGCCACTGAGTGCGTAGTAGACACTGTACACCAGCCACTGTATTTTACATAAAAATTTTAATTCAATACTCACGACTCAGAGAAGTTACTCTCTTACATTCAAATCCTATAAGTAACAAAGCCATAGGTGATTTATTAAAAACTCATAATCTGAACAAGAAGTAGGAAAAATGAATCCTCTTCTTACACCGCAGATTACCAACAATGTTAAACTGTTACCAACAGTGTTAAAATAGTTTGTAAACTGTGAATGCTACACAATTAGAAATGCCCATCTTCATTAAGAATCATGAAATTGAGGAGCTGAAATTGCTTATTTTGTGATAGCAACGACTCCTATGATATAAACAACCAACTATAAACAACTCATAAGCTGTTTCCTATAAGGGTATACATTTTAGGGATTCATTGAGGACTGAAGGAATGCACAATATTGTAATATACAAGCACGTAACTTATTGACTCATTACATTTATTCTAAGAGTCACTGTTATGTTGTAATTATTCAAGTCTAAATTTTAGGATAATTATTTCGGTATTTCTTTATAAAAACAGATAAATAAGAAAAGGGCTTCGTTTTGGTGATGACCTATCAAAACACACAGAATACTAGAAAACTCAGTCAAAAAATGGCAGAAAACAGTAAGCCAGTTGATTATTTTGCATTCTAGATAAAAAAAAATTGATTCCATCCCACAGTTATTGTGACACTGCATTACAGTTCATAATTAAATCTCAACTAATTCTAGAATGAAATTCACTTGTTTGACTTTCTGATACATTTTTAGATGGTTAGAAGATTATTTTTCACAAATAAACTTTATAGTTCATTTTTATGTGACTGTTTTGGTTGTAATTTTATGGTTTGAAAAGTGATTAATACTTTTTTCTTATTTAAATGTTTCTTTTACATTTCTGCCTTACTTCAATCTCCCCAATATGATATTAATCATTTTTACATAGATGGAACTGCCAGTTACATAGACAAGATTTCCAGTCTTTTTGGAATGAATCCAAAGCACCTGTAAAAATTGTTAATGAAGGAGAAGTCTGATTCATTTAACACCTCATCCCAGTTGTAGACAAATGAGTGGGGGAGAAATCTCACATGAATCATGCGGGTGCCTGTATTCCAGGGAAACAAAGTGAGATAGGACTCTGCGCCCAAGGTGAGATACATACAACACAAAGCTTTTGCCGTCACAACGGTTTTCTGATATCTCTCTATTTAAATTTATATTTGCAACTATTACTGAACGGTAGGTAGGATTTATAAAAGAAAAGTGACCTAAAATTTCCATAAGAAACAAGTCATCAGTATAACTGAGATACTCATTAAAAGAATACTAAATATATACTTTTGGAATTTTATACACAGATTGCATTCTTGATGAAATATAAGGCTGAAAAGTATGGTGACAAATTATCTATTCCTAAAAGTAGCATTTTGTTACTGCTCTTGTTGGTCTCGAGGGTAAAAATACACTATACTTTTGGAGTCTGTTATTCAAAAATGTCAGTGCACGGATCTAAATATATACACTGGGATACGCAGAATGTTACATAAGTGTGGCCCAAACTTGCTTCTGCTTGAATAAATAAAATCATGAATACTTTACTTTGCAGTCTCCTTCCTGCACACTTTAACCACAAGAGTTGACATTTAGAATACCCTGCACTGAGACCGAGGTCGGGGCATAGCTCTCACTAATCCAAGGGTCTAGCAAAAGGAGAAAGAGGAGTAAGAATGCTGAAAAATTCACCAGGTCTATTTTTCTACTTCTGGAAAATAACAGGTTTATTTCAGTTATATTTAATAAAAAGCCCCTTATTCTTTTACTTTCATCAACACCCTTGCTTTGGAGAAAGCAAACGAGACAAAACAAAATGCTACCTAACACTTACTCTTACAAAGATATTTTTGAATAGTTGATGAAGAAGATTTTATTGGCGAACTGCAATAAACAGGAAAAGGCTCTCAAGGTTCAGCCAGAAACATACACTCGTATGTTTCAAGTACAACAGTTTGAACTGATGAGGAGTATATTTTACAATGTAAGTATTTTAGTGCATTCAGAAAAATGATAGTGAAGCATTGCAAATTATTTTTTCTACACAAAATCCTTTGGATTTTGTAAGTTTTGTACAGGATTTATTTTTATGTTTCTCTGAGAAATGATCCAAAAATATTCAACTTTCTTTTGACTGATTTGATCCCGTGAAACACTGATATCACAATTTCTGATTTTTCCAGCTAAGGAAGAGAAATTCTTTTTGAAAACGAGACGTGTATTGTGACCTCTTCCAATCTTACATGATCATTCTTCCCAGATAGCAAAGATTCCTGAGCCTAAACAGAACCCAGTTTATTTACAAATTATTTCACCTGAAATACACAATTTAAATCAAAGTACCTACTCTTGATGCAAGACAAATACGTTAATTCCTGTCATTTTGCTTTGAAAACCTGTATATTTTTTATTGTTTCTTTGGGGTTTTTTGTCTATGTTATTGTTATTTTGTTATTTTTAAAATTCTCTTTAAAATAAAAAAGCAAATATATTGTAAGGAACGTTTTCAAAATATTCCACATTTAAGGATTATTCAAAGGGGCCCAAATGCTGAACTAAATTATTTTAATTATATTATCACCTACCTCTAGACAGCACGTCAAACCACTGTCCTCATATATTGAATGAAAAGAAATAATTTAAAATGATATGCAACACCATTTTTACACAAGGAAGGTTAATATTTTACCAGTTGCAATCACCATATGTAATGCCCATATGATAATGATTGGTATAGACTGGGACTTCTGAAATTGGCATAAATAGTTTACCATGTGATGATTTGATTTCTCATCATTTTTCTCCATTTGTACCACTTTGCTAGTCCTTGACTTTTACTTACCAAAGACAAATGTTTACATATTAAGTATTCCTCTGCTCAGTTCTCATTTCCCTGTAGCAATCAACATAATCTTATTTTATTTTGTATCAACATGATTAAACCTAAAAATGAAAACTTTGGCACAAAAATTACAGTGCACAAATTCAATCATAAAATGATTATCCAGAATATTCAGAATATTTTAATACTATCTTTAATATTAACATAGAACAAAAACATGACCCTTAAGTGACCATAATTTGTCAACTGCGAAACACCCCAAATATATAGTGAAGGTGTTTCATTTTTTCAAAACCTACTGAAATTTCTAATGGTGCTAAAAGCCACTGGGGTAGAGAAATTCAATAATATTAAAGTAGGGCACTTTTTTTTAGTCACTATGGCTACGTTTAACTTCATGTATGAAATATGTCTCACAACTTCTTGTAACACACATATGTTTTGCGTATGCCATTTGTAACCTTAAGCCACTTGTCTGATGATAAGGGAGACAGATCTTTTACACAATGAAGGGGACTGGAGGTGGAGGGAGGGTGGAAGTAGGAAAGGAGAAAGGGGATGAAACAGAATTCAATTAAAATGTGTTATGTACGCACACCAACTCCCCACAAGGAATGTAAGCATTCTGTACTGCAAATATATACCAATAAAAATAAAAAACAAAACAGGACAGAAATGAACATCAAACAGACATCTTACCTTTTACTCTCTCTGACTGCTTTATCTCCCTTCTTCCAAGAGATGGCTGGTTTTGGAGAGCCCTGAGGTTTGCACTCTATGATGACTTCTCGGTCTTTGGTGACAATTATTGTTTTCTTCAGTTGATTCGGTGCAAAAGTAGGAGCTGAAGCTATTAGAAAGAGACTGTTAGTTCTACCAGAAATGACAATAATATCATCAAATATATGAGTAATCTAAATGTTAGAACTTTTTCCTCTGAGAAACATCTCTCATAAAATCATACAGATGGCTTAACAAAAATGTACTAATAATTAATGGATATCTTCCTGCCTATCTTCTCATTAACAGCTGATGGTTTCACACAGTATGTGTCCACAGATACATGGTGTTTCATAAGGTGGCAGCTGTAGTTACGATTCCCAACTTCAGCTGTGAAAGGTTGAAGGACAACTTTGGCAAAAGATGAGGGTCCAGCTGCAGAAATCTCTGGCACTTCTTTAGAATAATTCATATTACCTCATGGAGAAGAAAACCTGTGTGCTGCATTTCCTACATATAAATGTTAATTTTATAAACAATTCATTGTAATGTTATACAAATTTCATGTAGTTTTTACAAATGCATTAACTTTAATATGTTTTCATTCTTTTATTGTTACAATAAAAAGTAGAATACAAAGTTAAAATAAAATAGAATTATTTGAGTTGTAATTCAAAATTTTATTTCAACTGTTGCAGTTATTTATCTAAGTGTAATTATTCATTAATATTACCATTGTTTTTGTTAGATTTTTTAGAGATGTTTTAGACTGTGAAGATTATGCCCAAAAATTTATAGCATCGGAGGCCTTTGTGCCATTTGGACCATTTCATGCACATTTCAGTAATATTTTATGTATATTTTACTCATAGCTTACAATATAATGCATGACCCAGGAGCATTAAAATTTATATCTATTACAATTCGGATAAGATATTGGCAAAAAATGAGGGAAATTATGGTGAGAGTACAACTAATATTTTGGTTGTTTGCCGGAAATAGAATTTATAAAAGATACTTTTGAAAATATGAAGAGTGAGTAAAAAGGATTTCAGAGTGTTTCTGGGTGAACTGTTAACCAAATGTTACCTGAATTGATATTTTAATTCCAAGATGTTAGAGTGTGAGTTGACAAGAAATTAATATTGGATTGATCAGCAGGTAAGAAGTTGAAGTGTAATCCTCTGTTAGCTGTGGATTTCTTTTAAATGTGAAGACATTTCAAGTGAAAACATCTATAAGTCAATACATATATTTGGATATATTATATTTAGCTTACACAAAAGTAGTAATTTCCCAGGTTTCTAAGATTGTTGACATTTCTGTAAATGTTATGTTTGGGGAATTTAAGCAGGAAATAGAAAGTACATTTGGACTTCCTACTTTTAGGAGACAGTAAATCTTGCTTGGTATTACAACCACCCTAGAATCAAAATTTAGGATACTATCTCTCTGATAAAAGGTGAAATCCATGCCAGTAGGCCAGGTATGCTCATTTAGGGGAGTGTCTCTCTCTGGACTGACTCTCGTAGTTTTAAGTGGGGTATTTGTGCCACTTCTCAGATTCCCTTCTTATCAGAGGTGAGCCTGTAAGCCTACCATGCCTGGCCTCTGGCTGGCTTTCTGTGTTAGTTTGAGGATGATGAAGGTGAAAACCTCATTAGGAAAAGTAGATTTATCTTGGAGTCTTATCTTGCAAGATACACACACACATAGCTGCTTCAGAAATATAAAGCATATCTATGTGAGCAGGGACAGGCTGCAGGAAGTCCACGTTCTGATCTCCTACACTCTCAAGGCCTTCTTCCTTAAGATTAACATATTTATTTGTAGAATTTAGTGCCAGAGAAAAGACATATAAACCATTTAAGAGTAAAATGAAAGTTTAAAAAACTTACATAAACAGAAAAGATACAGAACAAACTGCATATAAAGTGGTCTTCTAAAACTTACAAATATTATCAGCAAAACATAGTATTGCTTTTCAGGCCATAAAATACAGTCTTAGAACTCCATCACAAAGCTTCGTATAGTAACAATCCAAAAATGAAAGGAAGTAATCCTTTTTGTCTATTTATTTACTCAGGAACTGCATACCGAGAATCTTCAGCTCAGCACTGGCATAAATGGCTCCATACTTATTTTCAGCCAAACACTGATACATCCCAGAATCTGATTGATTTACACTGTGGATCATTAATACTCCATTAACCGTGTGAACCCTATTCTGTAAAGAAAAGAGAACAGACATAGAAAATAACAACTCATGCAGCTTTTGCGCTTACTCCTAGATCAAGAAAAAAGAACCTCTACTTTCTATAATTAAACATTATTTGGAAATGTTGCAGCACAGATTTACTGTTTACTATTTTATCATGTATCTTATAAATTAAAAATTATTTCTTGGTCAGGAAAGAAAATAAAACGATATTTTCTGCAAGCATTCTTGTAGGTTTTACTTTCAACTGTATTTTTAATCTGAGCTGACTTTTTTTGGTAGACTGATTGAACTTGTGAAATACAATTACCAGATGGTGGTTTTATTGGAATTTTTTTTATAAGGAGAAACTGGGGAAAGGGTGGAGGGTGTGGACATACTACATTGTCAAGTTAAAAATTGCCAAGGTCATAACAGCAGTCATTTCACTCCACTGATCTGGCCGGGAGTTTGTCTTTTCCCTCACTTCCCAATAAGTTAACACAAAAAATACTGCCCCCAAATTGGACAACGTGTAACATTATTGGACAGAAAATACAAACTTTATTATTAGAAAAACCTAGTACACCTGACCTGTGGTTGGATATGAGCCAACTGGAGTAAGTGGAGGCCAAAACTACATTTCTAAAACACACTTGATACTTCCCCAAAGAAGTACAAACGGAGAACAAGATGTTCATCATCTCTAGCCAATAGAGAAAAACAAATGAAAGAACTCTGGGATTCTACTTTACCCCAGTCAGAATGGCTGATTTCAGGATCTCACACACACACACACACACACACACACACACACACACACACACACACCAACAAATCACAACAAGCACTTGAGGGAAAATGAAGCTTTCTCCACTGTGGGTGAGAGTGTAAACTAATGCAATCACTGTGCAAATCAGTGTGGAGATTTCTCAAGAAACTAAAAACAGAAGTTTCATTTGATCCAGCTATTCCTCTACTGAGAATATTCCCAGAAATGTTAGGTCATAATACTGCAGTGAAACATTCATACCCATGTTTATAGCAATAGTTAAGCCCTAGAAATACCCCAGATGCCCATCAGCAGATGAATGGGTAAAGGAACTGTGCTCTATATTGACAATGGAATTTTATTGGGCCATAAAGAAGAATGAATTGATGTCATATGCAGGAAAATGGATGGATCCAGAGTTCATAACTTTAAGAAAAATAAATGAGACACAGAAAGTTAAATATTGCATGGTTTCTTTAATAGGGGAAACCCAAAATATAAAGAAAGAATAAAGAAAGAAGAGATGGTAGGGAACAGTAAGGCAAATATTTAGAATATGGGGAATGGGGTGAGCAGACAGAAGGGGAGAGAGGATAAGAAATGACATCCATTCCCCAAAACAGAGGTAAATATTGTGTGTCAGAAACATATACTAGTTAAACAATGTTTAAACAACCAAGTCTCTTTCCTATTTCATGCCAAGCAAATCATGTTTTATTTTAATGAGGCATGCTTTGATTTACCAGCAGAGATACCAAGTAATTTGGACACTTTAAAAATAATCCATTCACTTAGCTAACATGCTGATGGAATTTATCTTTCTTGGGGAATAGGAACAGAAAAGATGTCCAGCACAGCCTTTTCTCAAGGAGTATCTTAGGGAGAACAGGAGGGAAAGAACCCGTGAACTCATCTCCAATGCTTCTATAACAACTTGCAGTCCCTTTTGTTTTCTTTGGCTTTCTGTGTAACTGCATCTTGCTTTGGCTTAACTGGCTTTTAGAACAGGGATCTTTAGAACTGGATTGGATTGTGGATTAAATCTGAGTCAGTTTGTTCACTTTGGAAAGGAGCAAGCTGAGACTCAATGAGATGTAAAATAGACCAGAGTCTCGGGGCCTGGTGACCAGCAGGGCTTGTGCTCAGAATTTCAATGCTATTTTGATCATAAATAGTGAATTATTCCTGTTCTCCTTCCTGCAAATATCATAACAAGGAAAAGAGCTATTAAAATTACCATTACTCTGAAATTAAATAATAACCAAACTAATTTTAAATATAGTATCTAGAAAGTTACTTTAAAAATCACACTTCTGCTAAAAAACTGTTTTATTAAATGTGTGGTTAGTAGCACATCATAGAAAGAACAATCTCAGCACGTAAGAGATGAACATTCTATTCTGGCCTCCACTTAGTAGACATGTGACCCTGGTAATTCCCTTTTCTTCAAGACATTAACTCCATCATCTGCAAAGGGAAGAAAATAAGCTAGATCGTATCTAATAGTCAGCTAGAAAGGACAATAAGTTTATGGTGATCACTGATATTCCCCCAAGAATTTATAGTATCGAAAAAATTTGAATAAGAAGTATATTACTCATACATGTAATGGTGATTAAAATTTTTCTGCTTCTATACTTGCTGTATTTCTGACTGCAAATATATTAGCAGGCCATGGTAGGAAATGGTTTTCAATAAGAACAAAGAAACCGTTTTGTCCTGTGTACAGTCTTGCTAAATTACACCGGAGCGGGTTAACAGCTCCCAAGGGTACCTGAGGCAGGAGAGGCACGCCGTTCTTCAGCCAGCGGTAGGTGGGCCGGGGCTTTCCGGTCGCCTTGCATTCCCACCGGAGAGGGCTCCCGCTGTCCAACTGGGTGTCGTTCAGTTTTTCTACCCAGTGTGGGTAGGCTGCAAGCATTAAAGCATTAAGGAAGGGTGGTTTCATTTCTCACTTCATCAAGTTCAATATTCATGTAGAAAAACTCATTGCATTTAAATATTTTTATTTTTAAAATTGACATAAGCATAGATGTTTGAAATGAGCACTGCATTGCATTGCATGAGAACTACTTTTCCTGAACACAAAGAAAAATGCACCCGGAACAACGAGTATACTTTGATGACATTTTTGTCATATAGGTGTGTGTGTAACCTACTGAATTTGGAAACTACTTTAGAGCAAGTGGTTTGCTTCTCCTGAGGCACTAGTACTTGTTTATCAGGAAGTCAGTCACTTAATCGGCATTGTTCTTTCCAAATACGGGAATAGGGGCTGGAGATGTAGATCAGCGGCACAGCGCCGGCCTGGCAAGCGCAAGGTCCTGAGTTCGATTCCTGGTACCAAAAAACAACAGCAACAACAACAAAATATGGGAATAATGTAGGCAGAAGTCACACAGCACTGATTATATTACTGAATAAGTGCTCTGCTTTTTCTTTTTTCTTTTCTTTCTTTTCTTTTCTCTTTTCCTTTTTCAGTCCTTTCCTTCTTTCATAATAGGACTCGAATGGTTTTGGAAAAATAATTTCTGAGGAAATTTTACATGGTATATAAATTTTAATTTATCTTCCAATATAAAAAAATGTTCAAAGTTTTAAAAATGGTAACAGAAACAAACTCCTTTTTATCAAGAGGCAATGCTGTAATTTTACAAACTCTGTAAGATACTGGTTTAAATCTTTCCTCTGATGGCCAATTAATAAAATGTTTGGTTTTTTTTGTTTTTGTTTTTCTTCCGATACCAGGATTAATCAAATTCTTATGATTCACTGTCCATACATATTCGTGTTTAAAATAGTCAAACAATAAATATAAAAAATTGAACTGAATTTATTATATTTCTGTAGCAACATTTTTGGCAAAAATCTACTAGATATCAGTTCCACGGAAGACTTTGGTCATTCATACAGTCATTCATCTCCCACTATGGTGTCCTTACCGATCTCAGACATGATTAGGGCTAAAGAAACAACCGCATCCTCTACTGAAGGAATTTTACTGGGGTAGGGAGGGCCCAAACTCACTGCAAAGGAGAATGCACTACCGGGAAACTGTGATGTTCCAAACCAAAGCCAGCTTAGGAAGGAGCAGAAAAGCAGGAGAGAAAGAACTCTCATTTATTAAATTGTGGTAGCTGACGTTATGATGTCCTTTATGCAGCTAAATGCTCAAATTCATTCCTGAAACATTTATCATGAAAACAAACATTTCTTACCCTGTGAATCAGGCAACTGTGGTTCAAAGCCATTAAGCAAGTGTATACAAGGTTACAAAGCAATCTATTTAAGTAGGAATATTGTTTCTATTAGCTTGAGGGTTATCTAGCCATTGTCTTTAAAATGCTCTATGTTGGCATAACAAAAGTCAGAATCTGTAGGCCACGAAATATTTTGTGATTCTTATTGAAAATATCACCATAATGAGTTTCAAATATTGACCCTAACTTTTGTGCTTGGATTCCCAAATCAGTCTCTTTGTTGTTGTGTCGTATTTATTAAAATTACTGAGAAAGTAAGATATGAGTAATGATAAACTCTACTTTCATATTTGAGTTTTCTATAAGATTTCCTACCCTGCTATCCGCACTGCTTCATACTCTGAGCAAGCCTTGCAGTCCACATAGACCAGTTTTCTATTTCCCAAGCACTTACTGTATTTTATTTAGTCTACTCACTCTATGCGAAATCTTCTACTTTTTGTTGTCACTTTTAATCCCGCTCATCATTCAAAGTTTATTCTAAGATAAAGTATACTAGTGACAACACATGAGGGGATCATTGTATATTCCCTGGACACCTACAGTCCTTCCTCACCCAGGAAATCGTCAAACCATGGCTTGCTATCCCAATTCTGTTGCTTATATTGTAACTAAAGTATTTTTGCTTAAACACGGTAGCTAGATAGTGAAGTCATTGAAGGTACTGTTGATTGAAAATATGCATTGAATTTGGTTACAACCCGGTCCCAAATATAGAAAATTATAAAATATTGGCCAGGTATATTTTGTGATCATTCTCTGACTGGCCTAGAATTCATGGTGGCACGTGCAGCTGTGGGAGTTAAAATTTAAGACACCTTAAAAATTTGCTGAAATTGAAAAATTGGAAAAGTGATAAATGTTAGAAATTTTTTCATATGGAAAAATTAATAATTGCAATACTATTTCTCCAAATACACTTTGCATTACTCTATAAAATGTTAAAGCTTAAATTCCCGGTCGAATCTGTCAGAGCAATCAAACAAGTCGTCCCTGCCTTTGCAATGATGTAGTTCCTGCTTTCTTGTCTTACTCAGATGCTTTTGACCACCGCTACAGGCACAAAGCTGACACTGAGCATGCAAATGTGAACGTGCCCTCGTGTCTGTGTGCTGTCAGCTCAGACTTTAGCTGACGAGATACAACTGAAATGTTATCCAAACGCACTTTGCCAGCAACTCCACAAGTGAGAATAGCCTGTTACGGAGCTCTCTAAATTCAAAAATACTGTCAATTTATCAATGCCTGACAGATTTTAAAAAGTGGTTTTATAGCTTGCTGTTTTGAACTAGGTTTGTGGGGTTTCTTTATTTTGTTTTTTGTTTTTTGAAACAGGGTCTCAGTATATAGTTCAAACTGACTTTGATCACACAATGTAGCCCAGGCTGGACTTGAATTTGCAATGATCCTCCTGCCTCAGCCTGCCCTGTGCTGGGGTTACAGGTGTGCACCACACCTGACTTGAACTGTGACTACCTGTCATTTGTATGTACATGTGTACATGTACGTGTGCATATATGACCGATATGTCCACATGTATGCTCACATCTATACGACACAATAGAAAATACAATTCTGAAACTCAGTAACTTGGTGATATCACTTGTCTGTTTCTTGAAGTGCTATGTGCAGTTACATATAAGCTGCTTGTTAAGGCAAGCCCAGAAAGGTACATAGCAGCACACAGATACATATATATATACAAGCATGAATACAGACACTAATAAAAATTGGTATAGATTATGTCAAATTAAGCTCCATATTGGATAATCATTAAGGCTATTTGTATTTTTGAATGTTCTTCTTCATGATATATGTGGAAAATATTGTATTTAATAAAAGATCAGCTCAAAATTTATAATTGATTTTCTTTTTTATTTCTCCAGGTTGCTTAAATTTTTTCAAATTTTAATTGAAATATAGCATTTGAACCTATTTGTATGGTCAATTGTTGCAATTCGATACAGGTATGCAGTGTGCAGATTTCCTTTATATATTGCAAAATATTTCACAAAGCACAAGGTCCATACCTCATAGGCCTACAACCAAAAAATATTATGTAGAAGGACATTGATAGAATTCTTAACATAAACAATTAGACATGATTATAGAATGAAGAATGTGTTTTAGGCCATGATATGACAGAGTACAGTCCTTGTAGGATTCTTAGAACAACAAAAACATTGGTAACACACAGGTTATGTACCTGAAGAGCATAACTTTGAGTTCCACAAACACATCCCTTAATTTTCTACTGTGAATTTTTACTTTAGCATAATAGTAGACAGCTGTGAATCTCAGTATCTTTGCTGGGGGATAGGAGAAGCAATCTTTGTGTTTGGCAATTTGGTAAGAGGAAAGGCAATGTGTCAAACCAAGGTTTTCACTGACATTATGCTCCATTTAAAAGGTTTGGCATATATTTACCTGCGCATTACAGAGTGTGTAATATACCCACACTACACTTCGGTTTGTTTTTTAAAAAAGTTTTCCTTTAATTTTACTGGTAGAAGTACTACAACAGCACATCAAAAACTAGGTTTGCATGTTTTGGAGGAAGTCGGAAGTGAATTATCAGATCACTCAGATTACATGCTTGGGTGATGTAGATGATCCATTATGGTAAAATACTTGCTCTCATAACAGAAGTGTGGTGTGGGCCAGGCATGGTGGCACATACCTGTAATCCCAGCACTTGGGAGGCTGTGGCAGAAGGATCATTGTGAGTTTGAGACCAGCCTGGGCTACAAAGTGAGCTCAAGGCCAGCCTGAACTGCATAGCAAGACTGTCTCAAAAAGACAAACCAAACCAAAACAAACAAACAAAAAAAACCAGAAGAGTGATGTGGGTGGATGATGATGGTGATGATGACGATTTTGATGTTGGCCATGTGAGCCAGAGTTCCTGAGCCAGTGAAATGTAACAAGAACCAACTGAAATAGACACAGTCCTAGTCCTCCGATTTATTCCGACGATGAAGAAAACAGCAATGTGAGTACGTATTTGACTAGTTGAAATGTTACAACATGGTCGTGCAATGAAATGGAGTGAACCAAGGTAGAACTAGGTCTGAAAATGTAGTAGGATCTTGGCAGGGTCAAACATATCATGCAGAACGCCAGCACTGTCATTCAGTGTTGGAAATTATAACAGACAAAATCCTACAAGATGCTGTGAAATACGCAAAGTATGAAACACAAGTAAAATGTTCTGTATGGCCCAGTGTCTATTAAAGAATGTATTTATTATGACACCTCACTAGCTGAACTGAAAGCATTCATAGGTCTCCTGTACACAGCAGGGATTTTTCATGATAATCACGGGAATGTAAAAGCCATGGGAAAATGATGGGTGCAATTTCAAACAGAGAATTATATAGTTCAACTTTTGGATATCAGAAAGATTTACATTGGCCTTGTATATAGCAGAGGAAAGCAAACTTGTACTGCTGATGTCAACATTGCATCAGGATAGAAATATTGATAGGAAAACCTCAGCAAATTGGAAGCCTGAAATGGAAACTTTCTACAAGACCAAAGGCACAATACATGTTGCTGCTGAGTTATGTAGCAATTATGAAGTCCCTTGAAACACAAAGCATTAGCCAATGGCTGTGTTTACCTGATCCTAACCATGTGTGGCATAAATAG